TGGAACTCCATCCCTCCCCACATTCGTCAATCCAAAACCCATCCTACCTTTAAATCCCGACTGTTTGATCATTTCAACCGTCCAGTCCTCATAAGTAAATGTAAATAGCTACTACTGTAAATATGTATATAAATTATTAGATCATTTTTCATTATTTTTACTTCATGTTTATTTTCAATTTTTCATTTCTTATTATTAACTTATTTAAATTAGAAAGTAACTTATAATTTCTTTTATAATTTATAATTTTTTTGTTTTGACTATTTAATTAAATTATATTCTTGATTATGTTTCTCTGAGGCTCCTTTGTCCACATTTTTGTCTTTCTGTATTATTCTAAATGGACTCGTCTCAGAATAAATAAAGCATTATTATTATATAGAAATAGGCTGAAATACCATGGCCACAACTATTAACCATCATGGGACTAGATGACAGAGGATGGTTAATTTGTGAAGATGATTAAGTGCCACTCTGGTTTGAAGGGTCTCTATTGCAAGAGGAAATCAATGACATAGAAACTGAGGATGAAACTGAATATGACATTTTACAAGAAAAATACTCTGATTTCCTAAATAACGAGGACAACTGAGATTTTTTCATTTTACTTCTAGCAATTTTTATAAACAAATTTATAATACATTGGAAATGTTATCAAAATATTTAGTATCGTTTTTGTTAAAATTAACGTCATCTCAGCTGTTTCTTTATTGAATACTTTATAAACCATAGAGTACATAAAATAATAAATTACAGGCACGATTACGTGTGTAAACACTCATTTCTTTAGATGCTGCTTATCAGTCAATATAGATAACTATAGCGTATATAAAAATAGATAATTAGCATTTTGTGAAAAAAACAAAACATTTTCTTAACACACAGCATGGTTAATGGTTTAATAATAACAAGATTTTTGTGTGTCATTAATTTGGGATTTTTTGCACTTTTGTTCATCAAATTGACCAACAATTTTTTATAAACCTGATAGATTGAAATAGGAAACAGGGAAAATTCTGGGATCAACGGATACAAATTTTTGTCATGCTGCCCCGCACATAATAATTGCTACATTCTCAAAAACCTTCTAAATATTGGCCAGCTTTTATTAAATCAGATACCTAAAAAGTTGTCTGGAACTATTTGCTTCTCAGATTCGTGAAAGTTTCAAAAATGTCAGGATTTCATGAAATTAGTTACCTACTAAGGAAGTGGTCTAAAATTATTTCAATCATTTTTTTGCCAGCTGCATAATGTTCGCATATATTTTTCAAATTTACATGTCAGATTCATGGAAAGCTTAAAAAATGTACTCAGATTTTATAAAATTAACAATAATAAAATTAATGTGCTCTGAAATTATACTAACTAGTTTTTAGCCAGCTGCTCATAACATAATTGTTGACACTTTTTGAGATTTTTAAACGCGTCAGATTCGTATGAAGCTTCCAAAATTTTCTCTTACTTTATTAAACCTGCTCCCTACTAAGTTGTCTGAAACTATTCCAGTGTTGTTTTTTTTCCCCTGCTGCAGATCTCTTAATTTTTGGCACCTCTTTTTAACTTTGAAAATCGATCATTGCCAAACTCTTGCCTTCTGTCGCACCATATATCATATTTCATAGCCATCTGACTCGTGGGTCTTTGGCAATAGGGTTGTCATCTGTACTGTTTTCAATTTTCATATCTTCTGTTGCTGATCGTGTGGTTGAATTTTCGGCAGAACCCGGACTAATAGTAAACCATGTTAACTTTAAATTCATATGATAGATCAAACATTTTCTTATAAATTATAAACTTACTTAATAAGACAACTTCCCCCCTTAACACTACCAAATCAATTAATGATGGACTGACAGCCAAAAGGTGTTGAGAATAAATTTATTTTTAGAGTAGTGAAGTTGTTTTCAGTGTCAGAAATCTCTAATAAATTGCTTACCTTGTTCACATTAAGCACAAATATAGTCATATTATAATTCCATTAATAAGTTAAAACACATTAATACCATTTTTAATTATGAAATTCTTTTAATTAATGGTGGTTGGCCAACTTTAATACATGTTATAAGTGATAAATGATCAATACCCAAGTAATTTTTTATGTGGTTTATTGCTTATTTTTGTTAACATATTCATCTAAATGTGTATTCATTAGACATTAGGATGTATATAAATTTGTCATTCAAAAGTAAAACCATTTCAGAACATAGGCACATTGTTCAAATTGTTGTTTTGTAGACCAAATATTACTGTACATTTATGTGTAAGTTTTAAAATATTGTCTAATAGATTCATAAGTACATTGCATATGTAGAAACCCAATATAGTTGGGTAGCACCATTGTATGACAATAATGAGTTTCTATCTTTAATAATGGACTTAAAATAAGTAAATATGATTTAAGAAATTAGTTTTTTGTATGTCATTTAAACTGATTTTAATCATTAACTTAATTAACTTGAAGTATAAGGTCTATCAAGGTATTTCTCTTGTTATTTCTCTCTATTACCACTCTAATCCCACTTTCGAAATCCTCTTCTTATTCTTTGTCTTTCTCTTATGCCATTAGCTAGCGTCGAGGAGCCTCAATCCAGTGTAACCACTCTTCCCAGTCCTTGCTTAGCCGCTTCATCTCATTGAGGGTTTTGCCTATTTTACTTTCAATTCTTTGAATTTACACTTGGTATGTAATTCTGGGGCATCCGTGTGGTTGAGCCTCTAATGCCTTTATAGGCAGTATTAGAGTAGTTTTAAGTTCGGTAACTCCTAATTGCTCTCAAATGCTTTCGTTCCTAATGCGATCCCTTCTAGTTATCCCAATAGATCTGCGAAGGAACATCATTTCTGCTGCGGTTATGCGGCTAGAGTGCCTCTCCAGCTTTGTCCAGCTTTCTCCGCCGTAGGTGAGTGTAGGTTGGTAAATAGACTTATATACATGCATTTTCTTGTCTACTTCGTGATGGCCGATGATGCTATGAGTAGTCTGTTTTCTTCATAATTTGTTTTTGTGAGTGATCTGTGCTAAGCCCATAAACAATCAAATGTTCTCTTTTTTATTATAACACATATAAAGCTACTAAATATTTGCACATGAGAAATATTTTAAGAAAACAAGTATATTTCTATTAATGCATTCATTTTTTAAACTATATTCTTCTAAAATGTTATCATTTTATACTATTTAATGTCCTCTTGTTTTATTTAAGTTTTATATGAAAAACAATCTTAGTTTAGTTTTATTTACTTCAAAATTAATCAAATTTGAACTTGTGAATACCTTCATCTATTTGGGTACAACTAATATCTAAGAATAATATCTCCCAAGAGATTAGTAAAAGGATAAAAGCAGCCAACAGGTGTCATTGTAGAATGACAAACCAGTTCAAAAATAAGTTACTACCAAACAAGACTGAAATCCCAAAAATAATTTGACAAAAATGATATATCCATTTTTAATAAACTCAGGTAAGATCTTTTCAGAAATATAACAAAATCATGTATCTTACACTGTTTTTTGATTGAAAAAATAGCAATTCTCAGAAATTGATCAATTGATACATGAATGAATATTGTAATTTTTGCCTTGGATATTTAAGCATATGAGTAAACAAATTGTACAAAAGTTGTCATTTATATTATTGAGGCACAATTTTGAATGTTTCCACTACTGTAATGTTTTTGAGCGTTTTCAGATACCCATAAACTCAAAAGAATTGCTAGTCAATGTTACTGACTAACAATGCAAGAGGGAATGAAAAGTCAAAGCTGTGTTTACAGGCTATCTTTTGTGGGTCTGATTCCCCTCTAATCAAATTATTGATTTAATTGTGGACATTTTTTTTTTATTGTGGCAAAATGCACTGCGGACAAGAAGGCCTATTGTGCATCCTAATCAGTAGTGTAGCTCTTAATCAGAGCATTATTCCAGCAGTCTCCACAAACTGAAGTAGGCTTGTCGGATTGACAAGCTCATTAGTTGTGCAGGCCTAACAACCAATTATTGTAAACTTAATTCTGATTCAATATTTATGAGCTTTTTTTTTTTTTTATGTTCCATTATAGTTCATAGAACTGCTGCATCTGATAAGACATAAGTTAACTCAGCTGGTTAAAGCTTTTAGCCAAGTTTTAATGGAAAAATAAAATTACTTGGCTAAAAACTAAACTAAAAATTGCTAACGACTGGCCTTTATTCCTGATTTTCCCTGACATAAAAAAGTCAAGTATAAAAGCTCCTACACACAGAACGCAATAGGTCTTGGCGATATGATATCCACTGCCGATTATTGTGCTCTGTCTGACTACTATAATGCAATAGAAAGCAATACAACTACATCACCATACCACTGCCATACGTACACTGTATGTAGGGACCTTAAATCCTCATGTTCAGGGTATACATTGTTTAAAAAATCAAATATCCTGCATAGATTATCACGAACAAAGCAATTTTCCAACAAACCAATACTCTTGCCTATCATATATGTTGATCTATGCAAAGTTTGCAAAAATGAAAAGATTAAAAGTCTTTTCTCACCCTGCCAAAAACCCTGAAATCATACCACTTGGATATGGTCATACCTCATAAATGGCACATTTGTTGGATAGACAGACCTTTTATAACTATATAAATGGGATATCAGCCTAAAAAGTTAATTTTTTTTTGTTCTATTTATATTTTAAAACTGAATGAGTATCATCAATAAATGTCATAGGCGTAAAGATGAAGGTAACTGATAGAAAATAGTAGTATATTTTTTTAAAGTACATTGAAGTATGTATTTTATAATATTTAAAATAAAATAGTTTTAAGGACTTTTTAACAATGTGATATCATAAAAAGGTATTTGGTGAATATTTAAATTACTTGATTTATTAAATAATCTCAAACAATCCCGGATTACTAATAGATAATTTGAGTTTAAAGCTTACTAAATATAATTATTAAATCTAGATATTTTAATGTGACAAAAACTAAAAATAAATGGATATATACTAACTTGAAGTAAGTGCCCGTTTCTAAACCAACTATAAGTAACATCAGGAATGCCAAAAGCTTCACAAGTCCAAGTCAGCTCACCTTCATTATCAACATGCTTGTCAGTCAATGGAATCGTAAAATTAGGTTCCGCTGTAAGAGTAAATTTTTATTATTTCAGAGTATATTTTTAATAATAGAATCTAAATAATGAGATTATAATACAAAAGGAAAAAGTATACAATAAAAAGGTTATTATAGAATATTTAAAATCAAAGTCTATTATTACAATTAATAACAATGCTTCCAATAATGTTTTGCCCATTAAGGCATCATCAATATTGATCAAATTATAGCATATTTCAAATATAAATTTTAAATAATAATTAAATAAATTATATAATAGTCACTCCACCAAAGCCGAGGTCTTCCTCTACGCCTTGTTCCATGCATCACTTCTGTCATGATCTTTTTCGGAATGTGATTCCCAGCCATTTGAGCGATGTGCCAAGTCCATCTCAATCTATCGAGCTTCATGAAATGAACCACGACTGGTTCTCTAAACAAATCTTTGAGCTCCTGGTTTGCCCGACGTCTCCATCACTAGTCAACTTTCACAGCTCCAAAGATCTTACACAAAATCTTCCTCTCAAAGACCATTAGATTCTGCCCATCAGTTTTGGAGATAGTCCATGTTTCTGAGCCATAAAGGGGTATCGGTCGGATAATTGTTTTATACAATAGGATTTTTGTTCCTCTGGTTAAGACACAGCACCTAAAATATGGACTGAGGCCATAATAACAACGAATGGCACATAGCACTCTTAGCTTAATTTCAGAATCTACAACATTATCATGAGTAATGAGGGATCCGAGATATATAAATTCCGACACTTTCTCAATGGAGAATTCTCCTATGGTAATCCTTTCGCCCGGCCTGGGGTGATCCTCAGTGACCGTATATTTGGTTTTTGCAGCTTTGACTTTAAGGCCCGTTTTTCTTGCCGCTTTCAATAGTTTCAAGAATTCATCAGAGACTGCCTAGAAAGAGCATGAAGCAATGTCGATATCATTTGCATAAGCAAGAAGTTGCACTGTCCGGCTGAATACTGTTCCGCCCACTTGAATACCAGAATCTCTAATGGACTTCTCTAAAGCTAAATCAAAGAGGAGACATTCCAGTGCATCTCCCTGCCTTAGTCCTTTTCCAGAAGGGAATTCTGCCGATCTTGCTCCTCCAACTTGCACCATGCATCTCACTTCTCACATGGTGAGTCTTACCATTCTAATAAGCTTTTCAGGAATTTCAAATTCTCTCATTGCCTCATAAAGCTGTTCCCTATGAACACTATCATACGCTTCTTTAAAATCGACAAAAAGATAATATGTTTTAAGCTTATATTCACGTCCTTTTTCAAGCATGGTGGGCAATATCTGGTCAATGGTAAATCGTCCTTTCCGAAAACCACACTGGTACAGGCCTAAGATATTTCCCGTGGAGGGGAGTAATCGTTGAAAAAGAATGTTGGACAACACTTTGTATGCACAAGAGAGTAAGGAGATGCCTCTATAATTACTGCAGACTAGCCGATTACTCTTTTTATGGATTGGACATATTATTGATTTATTTCAAGATTTTGCCATTACTTCATCAGTCCAGATCTGAATCATGATATTCTGAAGGGTTTTCGGTAATTCACTTCCTCCACACTCAATAATTCTGCAGGCAATTCATCAACCCCTGGAGCGTTATTATTTTTAAGTTTTGCCAGAGAATTCAAAATTTCCTCTTCATCTGGCGGTTCCATTGACTGAAGTAACATAAAATCTACAAAACTGTTGCTTCCAACTTCTTCCGAAAGATTTTCGTTAATAAGCCGAGAGAAAAGCCTCTTCCTTTCCTCAAGAACATCCATCCTATTGGTTAGAAGTTTGCCACCTTCATTCAAGTAGTAGGTAGATTTGCTTTCAAAAGGTTTTCTTTTCAGATTGACTGCTTTGAAGAATTCCCTATACTGCTTAATTCCTCAAAGGAGTTCAGTCTTTTCCAATTTTACCTTTTCCTATATTCTTTTCTTATACTGGTGGAGACATTTCTCCATTCGCCTCTTCTGTCTATATAATTCAGCATTACTCCTGGTCTCGTGGTGAACCTTGGCTTTATATGCATCGTTCTTTAAACGATAAGTGTTGCTCTCTTACACTCCTCGTCAAACCATGGAGATCTTAAATCCCTCTCTTGTGGTCAAAGCAGTTTAGTGGCTGTATCTGATATAGTCTCTGAGTATGCAGTCCATGTGGTGTCAATATCACCCTCCAGAACATCAACCTGCCGAATACATCTATCCAGTTCCGATTCATATTGTGCGAGAATTATTGGATCCTTAAGCTTATTTAGGTCGCATTGGTTAGGCCTCTGTGCTGGTAAGCTTGCTTTCCTTACCTAATATAGCATCTCCACACGAAACCCGTTTGCCTCAAAACTAAGAGGAACACGCCATAACCCTAAACCATACATTTTAAACCATACCCACATGTTTGGGTTGAAACGTTGGCAAAAATAAAAATTTAAAAAAAGACTGCGTCCTGAATATTCAGCTATATCACCCATGTTTTTTTTTTTTTTTTTTTTTTTCACGGAACGGCCATAGAGACCACGCGAATATCATGACATTTGGCTTCTTTCTTGTTTTTCCTTTCTTTCCACTTCCCTCTCATTATCTCCGAGTGCCGCCACTTTCTCTCCTCCGTCCACGCGACTCCCTTTCTCGAACTTTTCTTCTTAGCAAGAACCGTGATCTCCTTTAGTCTCTTACCATACCCCTCTCTGTCCAGACAGTCCCGGTCCGTTATTCTAAGTCTTTCCGTTTCTTCCTTCATCTGCCTGATGTATCCTCCCAAGCTTTTGTATCTACGGATTTTTTGGAATATTTCCTTGTTAAGTCTTTCTGGGGCCATTCTTACCATATGTCCGTGGAATTTCAGTCTCCTGATCCTAATTTCCGTTTCTAGATCTCTTTTGTCCTTGTATATTTCCTGATTGGATCTTAGCCTGTATCCTTCTTTTGTCTTTTTGGGGCCGTAAATCCTTCTGAGAATTCTTCACTCTATTCTCAACAATTTTTCCAGACTGGGGAGGAATGTGGTTTCCGTCTCGTATAGTATCACAGGTTTAACAACTGTATTGTAGTGTCGTATTTTCACTTCCTTGGACAGGTTTCTCTTGTTGTATATGTTACTGGTTGCAAAAATTAGTTTTTCCAATTTGGCTATTCTTTCCTTGATACTTTCTTTTTCGGAACCATTATTACATATAGTCTCACCCAGGTATTTAAATTTATTTATTAAATTTATTGACCCGTATTGGGTTTCCACTGTTTTTTTCTTGAAGTCTGCGTCTGTGGTCATTAATTTTGTTTTTTCGTAGGAGATTTGGAGACCCGCTTTTTTGGCTATTTCCGCCAGTGTATTTATTTGGTTGATTGCCTCTTCTTCCGTTTCCGCTAAAAGTGCAAGATCGTCTGCATAGGCAAGACACCTTACCTTGACGTGGTTGTTTTTGGTCCCTATAATTGCACCCACACCATTGGTTTTCCACAATTCCTTCATTATCCTATCTAGTACCACGTTGAACAGTGTTGGGGAGAGACCGTTTCCTTGTCTGAGTCCCGTCCTTATCCGGAAAGATTTGCTGGTGGTTCCTCTGAATCTTACCTTGGATTCGGTGTCAGTTAGTGTTAATTCTATTAGTTTCCTGGTCTTCTGGTCCACTCCGTATTCTCTCAGTATTTCCAGCAGTGTCTTTCTATCCACTGAGTCGTACGCTTTTTTAAAATCAACAAACGAGATGTAGAGGTTCTTTTTGGGCCTTGTTTTGTAGTATTTTATCAATAATTTTAGGCTCAGGATTTGTTCTTGACATGATCTTCCCTTTCTGAAGCCTCCCTGATATTCTCCGATTTTAGGGTCTATTTGTGGGTTTAGTCTGTTGAGTAGTGCTTTGGAGAAAATTTTGTAGCTGACGGGTAGTAGGGAAATTCCTCTGTAGTTGTCAGCTCCTGTTTTTTTTCTTTCTTAAGCAGTGGATGTATCAAGGCGGTTTTCCATTCTCTGGGGATTTTCTCCTCTATCCAGATGTCCATCATCAATTCTGTGATCTTCTTCCTGAATTCATCACCTGTTACTTTCCACATTTCCGCCAATACTCCATCCTCTCCAGATGCTTTATTGTTTTTAAGTCCCGCGATTATTTCTTCTATTTCTTCTTCATCGGGTGGGTCCGATTCCATCTCCAGGAGGGTGTTGTCATGTGGAGTCATTCTCTGTTTGGGCTCCTCGCAGTTCAGCAGTTGTTCGAAATAATCCGCCAGTATGTTGCAATTTTCCTCGTTTGTTTGTGCCAGTGTTCCGTCTTTTCTTTTTAGCACTATTCCTGGGGGGATAGTGCTAAAAAGAAAAGAAAAAGACCCATGTTTTTATTTTATATAACCTATTTTTTTTTCACCTTTCAGATTTAATCGATATCAGGGTCGTCAACTATTGAGTTCTGGGGAGGGGGGGGGAGGGTACTTTTTATGAAAATACTATTGAATTTGAGATTGCACCCCCCTGGCCTCGACTTTTTGTAACTTCGGATTTGATCAATATCAGGGTCGACAATTATGTTTTAGGGAGCGCTTTTTATGAAAATGCTGTCGAATTTGAGATAGGGCCCCACAGGCCTCAACTTTTTGTAACTTTTCAGATTAACTTGATATCAGGGTCGACTATGTGAGCGGGTAGCCAAACGGGCTAACGTGTGTGCACAACACCACCGTTGCCTGGCAACCTGATGTATGAAACAATGGATTTAAAATAGTCACAAGTTCGCGTCCTGGTGCCGGAGGAGTCTTTTAAATCCCCACCCACACCCCCTGGCCGGGAAAACCCCGTACAGCCTTAAAAGCGAGGAAGGGGAGGACATATACACAAAAAAAAAATCTACCGCCTAACGGGCCTTGACTATTATGTTTTTGGGGTAGCTGTTTATGAAAATGCTGTTGATTTAGAGATAGTGCCCCCTAGGCCTTGATTTTTTTTTAATTTTCAGATTAAATCTATATCAAGGTCGAGTCTTAAGTTTTAGGGGGCACTTTAAAAAAAATATTGTCGAATTTGAGATTGCGCCTACCGGGCCTCGAATTTTTTGTAACTTTTCCGATTAAATCGATACCAAGGTAGACTATTATGTTTGGGGGGCGCTTATTATGAAAATTATATCGAATTTAAGATTGCGCCCCCGGGCCTCGAATTTTTGTAACTTTTCGGATTAAATCGATATCAAGGTAGACTATTATGTTTGGGGGGCGCTTATTATGAAAATTATGTCGAATTTGAGATAGCACCACCCGGTCCTTGACTTTTGTAACTTTTCGGATTAAATCGGTATCAGGGTCGACTCTTAAGTTTTAGGGGGCGCTTTTTAAGAAAATGCTGTCGAATTTGAGATTGATCATTTTTGGGTTCTCCACAAAACATTGACAAGAGTTGACGCTGATATCAATTTAATCTGAAATGTAACAAAAAGTAGAGGACCAAGGGGGAGGGCGCAATCTCAAATCCGACAGCATTTTCATAAAAGGCGCCCGCTGGAACATATTAGTCGACCCTGATATTGATTTAATCCGAAAAGTTAAAAAAAATCGAGGACAGGGGAGCACTATCTCAAAATCGACAGTATTTTTATTAAAAGTGCCCCCAAAACATAATAGCCGAGGCCCGGGAGGCGCAATCTTAAATTCGACAGCATTTTCATAAAAAGTGTCCCCCAAAACATAATAGTCGACCCTGATGTTGATTTAATCCGAAATGTTTAGGACATAAGACCTTCCCTATTCCTGAATTAGGGGGAATAAAACCTGGATGCTGAAATAGATTGACCAGAAGGGGATGCTCATAAATGTAGGAAATCAAATTAAGGTTGACACAAAATATATTACAAAATAAATAAAATTAAAGTTACATTAGTCTCTGAGCGGAGTACCAAAATATATACACAGGAGGTTAGCAGATTAGTATCAGAATTTATTTGCAATCAATGAGCTGACTAGGTGGATGTGGATGCTGAGGCTGCTGGAATAAAGTAGATGTTGGCTGGTGGCATGGATGAGCTGGGGGTCTTCAGTTCCTATCGCGATACTGCAGCTGCTTCGCTACATATGGGTAGTGTTATGTGCTGGCATGCTGAATTCCATGCTGCCTTTTCCTGGCTACTTGTTTAGCTTGGCCTAGCTGCAATACATTTCTTGGGTATACTTGGTCTTTTGTAGACTCACTTCAGGCTGAGTTTGTGCTTCAATCCTTCTAGTTCCAGGTCACCAGATAAGGCTATTTTGTTAATCTTCTTCTGCTTGCCAGATGGTCCTGCTGTAGTGCACTATTTGATGTGTTTATTAAAACCTATAGGGAGTCCCCTTAACATATATATACCTCTCTCTCTCTCTCTCTCTCTCTCTCTCTATATATATATATATATATATATATATATATATATATATCTTTCGGTTTTTTTTAATATTGGCCTAGTCCTAGGTGATTGATTGATACTTTGTTTCAGCAATTATGGGGATTTTCTATACAATTTTGTAAGGAACTGGACACATAGGAACGAAAGGCCAATATGCTGAGATGTAGGTTTATAGCTCTTTTATCAGTTAATATTTATGTATGGCCGATGTATAGATGGTCTATTTATTCTTTTATTTAGCAATAAGTAGGATAATCCATGTGAAACTGTACAAACCTTGACGAAAAGGGGAAAAAAGGCTGATATATCACCCTTTGAAACATCAGTATTGGCCAAAATTTTGATATCGGTCCATCCCTAGAGGAAATAAAATCTTTGATAATCAAATTTCATTCTAAAGAGACTTCAGACTCATTCTTAAAATGATATATTAAATTTAAATATATCAGCAATAAGATATGACCATGATTTTACTTACAGCTGGTTCAATAACTTCACTATACATTATAAGTAGGTTGTTAATTAAAAGGGAGTCTAAAAATTGTTTCAACATGCTTCAATATTTGAATAATATACTTAAAATCTAGTAATGAACAAAATATTCAACTAACTAACAAATGAATATCATAGTTATCTAATGCAATATGTTGCTGATTAACATCATTACAATTATTTTAAAAATCAAGTTCATAATTGTACCTTGTATATTAAGCTGAACACTGTGTAGAATAGAAGATCTACCATTATAGGCTCGGCAAACATATTCCCCTTGATCTTCAACACTAACATGTGGTATGATTAGAACACGATTGAAACTCATTGCTTTTGCACTTCTAGGTAATGATGCTCCTTTCCTGGTCCAGTTATAAGAAGGTACAGGACTAAAATTAAAACAGTATTTACAATTCCATACATGGAACCAAGCACAAATGAAAAATATATTTATATGAAAATAACTAATCACTGTGAATGTTATTGACACTTTTACTCTTATAAAAATAAAGTATCCAGTAGCCCCGTGTACAAACAGTTACCCAGTGCAGGTAGGTATAGCCAGGCCACCCTTCCTCCTGAGGGGTTCAAAATATTTGGGAGGCTAGTTGCTCCGAGGATAAGGGGCTCCTCCTACTGGGTTAATCACCTGTAGTTGAGAATAACTGATTCAAAGGTCTTCAAGTTGCCTCAGATTTGGTCAATCAACCTATAGTTGATTGGTCTATCAACCTATCAACAGATAGGACACGGCACTCGAAAGGACATGAATTATGAAGGACGTAGGATTGGAACATGAAACGTCAGGACTTTAACTGGCAAAGAGGTGTAAATCGTAGAGGAGATGGAGGCTTATAGGGTGGATATCTTAGATATCATTGAAGTTAGGAAGAAAGGCCATGGAGAAGTAGAGCTTAATAAAGAGCATGAGCTGATTTATTCCGGAGTGCCTGTGGGTTTGTGGGCAAAAGAGGGTGTTGGCATCATCACGAAAGTAAGCCTGTTTGCAATAATAGAAAACTGGGAACCAATCTCTTCAAGAATAATTACAAAAAACATGGAGCTATCAATAGGAAAGGTTGCCTTACTACAGGTATATACCCCGACAAAGAATGCGGACATCCTAGATAAAGAACAGTTCTATGCAAATCTAGAAAGAGAAGTCTGTAAAGGATAAAATAAGAATAGACAACATCGTAATGGGTGACTTCAATACCAGAACAGGAAGAGACCATTTAAATGTGCATGGTGTGATAGGCCTACACGGAGGTGAGCAGACAAAGAATGGAAATAGTCAGAGGTTAATAGATTTTGTTCTTCTTACTGACAATTCTTTCTTTCCACATAAAGTTGTATATAAAATAACATTCTCGGCCGAGGAGAGAAATCTTAATAGCATCATTGACTACTTCATCTACAGCAGAAGATTAAGGAGATATTTCAGCGATTTAAAAGTAATAAGAGGTGCTGAAATTGGATCATGCCATCTTTTTCTAATTGCAGACACTCAGATCCTTCGACCAAGAAAGAAATGACCCAAATTGAACAAAATGATTGACATCACTAAGCTGCACATAGCAGAAAAGCAAAGCGAATACATTGAACTTCAGACACAGAAACTCCAGAATATAAATATGGAGAGCTTTGACAGAATGTGGGGAGATATGAAGGAGGCCATTCTGGAATCAACTGAAGTTATATGTGGAATAACAGTCATCTCCAGTAAAGGAAAAATGATGAAATGGTGGAGCAACAGAGTTCAGGCAGCAGTAGCAAGGGAGAATGCAGCCTAGAGGGATATTGTAGCCAAAAGCCCAGGCAACTAGAAGCAGTAATCCAGAAGAAGAAGAAGAAGAAGAAACAAGGCAGTCAACAAACAGAATGGCAAGGAAGAAGAGCTGGGAACAGTTTGACTGAAGCCTGCAAATGGACTATAACAAAAATATAAAAACCTTCTGGAAAAGAATCAAAGGAAGGGAAATAGGAAAAACCCCATTAGAAATGTGAAAGATAAAAGGGGTAAGATGATTAACAAAGGATGAAGAAATCTTTGAGAGGAGACAGCATTACACTAAATTTTCTCAGCAGGTGACGAGGATAGGGTTGACAGATCAAGAGCTGAAGCAGATGAATATGATGAAATAATATGGGAGAAAGAGACCACTCGGGCAGTGGGAAATGTGAGGACTGGTAAAGGAGCAGCAGTTCTGATTTTTGCAGACGATATTGTCCTCATTGCTGAAACAAATGAACGTTAACAAAAATCGGTCACCGAGTGGGAATCAGAGCTTGCAAGGAAGGGAATCATGCTTAATGCAAAATAAATGTAAGGTGATGCATGTTGGCAGAGAGGATGGCTATGTACTTGTTGACTGCAGGGGAGAAGCACTATAAATGGCTGATGAATACGCATCTTGGGATCTATCTTGGGATAGTGATAAGCAGAAATGTAAAGATGGATCAAGAGCTCTCTAATAGAATTAAGACAGCAAATAATATCTAATACCATCTATGTAATACTGTAGTTGGGAAAAGGGAGTATATGACAGTCAATTTATAAAATGGCAAAAGTAAAAATTATTTAAAACAAACCAAATTTTGATTAATATACTGGAAACCACTGACCCTCCTTTATAATTCAGTGGTAATTATGACTGAATTACAAAGAAGGATTAATAAAAAAAAAAATTGAAGTCCACTTATGATTTTAAGAGCTCAGAAAATGAAATCACATTTGTCACTTTAAACACTAAAACCCACAACTAGTGAACAGAAACTAACAAATGCTAAACAAAACCTATCACTAAAACAACAAAATTAAACTTAAAAACTAAAATATCAATTTGAATATTTAATAGTTGACTGTTGCATTATAAAGGAAGGAGATGGTCCGGGGTGGTGGTCATAAATAGGCTAAATAGTGGTAAAACTATTTTTATTAAAAGCCAACGTTTCGACCCGACTTTGCAGGTCTTCTTCAGGGCTAGAACGGACAAGATCTAATAACAACAGCTATCAGAATTTGTATTTTGATGTCAGTGGTTTCCAGTATATTAATCAAATATACTGATATTCATTATCATTTGTCAGACACGATTACAATGAGCAGCAATCTAATTTTGAATTATTTATTTTTTTAATTGGGGTTTAAGGAAAAAAATAAACATATTAGCACGGTTGTTGATTTAGAATTGAGTAAGTTTGTTCTATAAGTTTTCCAACCAGATTCTATCTATCTATCTTGCCACTATAACTCGGTGACGAGTCTTGGCCTCCTACAGCTTCCTCCAGTCATCTCTGCTTTGTGCAGTCCTCTTCCAACTCCCAGGAGATCCCATGCATCTCTTTTGCTACACTATCTGACCATCTGAGTTTTGGTCTTCCCCTTCTTCTAATGCTATGGAGAGGTAGCATCAGAACCTTTTAAGGGATTGCTTCGTCGTCCATCCTAACTACGTGGCTCACCTCATTTTCCCAAGCTTTCATTTTTAGAACAATATCTTCTTCATCAAAAATTGAATAAATTTCGATATTCTTCTACCTCTTCCAGCCTCCATCAATATGAATTTCTCCAAAAATTCTTCGAAGAATTTTCCTTTCGAAAACTAGGAGATCTTGTTCAATTTTCTTACTGGTTGTCTATGTTTCTGATCCATACAATAAAACTGGACAGATTAATGTTTTGTATAGATGAAGCTTTGTTCTTACGGGATAGAAGGTGAGAGGTGAATTCCTTGCGGAGGCCAATGTTACACCTGTTGGTCATCAGTATTCTTTTTTTCAGTTCAACCTCAGGTGCATTATTGTGAGTCACCAGTGACCCCAAATATGTGAACTGGGCCACTTTCTCAAAATTATAGAGGCTAATATTGATAGTCTCGCCAGGTCAGGGGACTTCTCCTTCATGTACTTGGTGGTCATATACTTGATTTTTCTTTCATTTACCTCCAGCCCAATTGGGTAATCTTTAATAAGGCAGATTGAGTGGAGTATTGGGAACGAAAACCGGATTGTAGAGGATTGAGAAGACAGTTTTGCTCTAGAAAGTTGTTCAACTAAAAGTGAACTAATCTTTCCAGAGGCTTGGATAAAATGGAAATGGGTCTAAAGTCGGATACTAATGAAGGAGCTGGGACTTTATTCAACGGCCGGACTATGACTTTTTCCAGGCTTTTGGAAAAATGGAATTTTGGAGGGAAAAATTGTAGATGTGTAGGAGTATAGGAAGTAAGTTTGGTAGGCAGAGTTTAATGATATTCAAAGGACTATGGTGGGTCAGGACCATAGTCGCTGGTTTTGGATTTAAGGATAATAGACAGTAGGTCAGTTGGAGAGTGGAGAATGAGTTTCTGCTGGTCCATGGCTGTAGGCTGTATGAATGTCTTGGAAAATTTTGATGAGGGCAGATTGAGTGGAGAAGTAGGGCCGGAAAACGGACTGGTTGGGATTTAGGAGGTTATTCTGTTCTAAAAAGTTGGATAACTGGGTTTGAACTAGTTGCTCTAAAGGTTTGAAAGGAGAGAAATTGGACGGAAAACATTAAGAGTTGATGGGTTGGAAGTCTTCTTCAAGTGCGAACTAGTGTAGTTTTTCAGGACGTAGGGAAGGTATCATTTTGAAATGAAATATCACTAAAATGATATTAATCAAAAATGTTGAAATTGGAGTTAGTCATTCTGTCAACTGAAAGGCACATATAGCTCAGCTCACAGACTGAAGTTATGTGCTCTACAAAAACAGACGTAACCAGATTTTTATTGCCTAACGTCCATATAATAGATAAAGTGTTTGTTATTTTAATAGTCTTAATGATTTGCCAGCTGTAAGGTTTAAGCTTTAGCTACCTTTGAAATGCGCCTCAGAAATTTTACAATAACTCAATATTGGCAGATAAAAATAATTACTGTTCAAAGTCAAACGGTAAGTGAAAATTGTGTGTTGCGCACACCAGATTTTTAAATATTATTATTGATTAAATAATTAATAAATATTGGGATACAGCTGATACTTACTATCCGAATGCTACACATTCTAATCGAACTTCTTTTCCTGCAATAGGAGCTTCTGGAAATGCTTTGGGAAAATTGTTCGGAAACTTTAACTGCTGATAATTAGCTGTAACATATTAATAAATTAACACTGTAAGGCATATTTAGAGTAGAAACAAACATACTTTAATGAAATATATAATGATGAAATAAAAAGAAAAATATCTTAAGAATAGATGTAAAATTACAAAATTTTTAAAAATAGAATTCTTACAATTCGGTAAAACTCTTAATGGAAAGAAGGGACCATTTCTGCCTGTATCAGAAACTTGACTCTGAACAGAACAGCTGTAATTTCCCTGGTCAATAGTTTCTAAAGCAGAAAAATAAAGGGCTCCATCAAACGAAACAAATACTCTTTTGTCTTCTTCTACAAAATTAGGGAAATAATCTCTTGTCCAGTGATAAATTACTCCTAAAATATAGAAAAAAAAGTAATATAAGATCCAATAATAAAAAATGTTAATTATTTTATATAACAACTTTGCTTTTTTGTATATAATTCAGTTATTATATAGCCCCATATAATACACACACACACACACATATATATATATACCTAGTTCTGCCATAAATGCTGTTACAAAAGTTGAACTGTGTTTGCATCCTTGGGTATTGTTTAGATAATTCTTACCTGTATCAGGTTATTTTCTTTACATGTCAGGATAATAATCCAAATTAGTTTATATTTTTCTTTCACTCAGTTAACATGGGGTAAGATGCTAAAGAAAACCGAATAGCTGCGATCGTCTAATAAAAAGTTGGAAAATGTATGTCAGAGATTTTTAACACCTTGAAACCTTTGGGTATCAGCCGTATTTTCGTGCACTATAAATAGATATAACAAGACTCTATCTGTAGGTGGCAGATCTCGATCGAGCTGTCCCCGAACTCTGAGAACGGCAAATGCAGTGAGAGTAGTGGCTCCTCGATTCAGAAGAAATCCCTTTCGAAAACAACAAATCATGCCTCGGGAAATGGGAATCTCAGTCAGATCAATGTTTGGCATGATAAAAAGTGACCTTAGGATGGATGCATTTCAAAGAATGATCGGACAAAGGCTAACCACTTCCCTAAAAAAAATTAGACTGGATAGATGCAAAGTGCTTCTTGGCTGTTACACCAATGGTTTTCATTGAAAGATTTTGTTTACCAATGAGAAAATTTTTACAATTGAAGAAAAATGTAAAGATCGTGTGTACGGACGCAGCTCTAAAGAAGCCCTGGAAGTCATTGGAAGAGTAGAAACAGGTCATCACCCTTCCTCAGTGATGGTTTGGTGGGGAGTTTGCTTTGATGGTGAGTTTGCTTTGATGGTACCACGAAGCTCTATTTTTTTTTTAAAGGAGTTAAAATAGCCACTAAAAACCATCAGGACAAGATTTTGGAACCTCTTGTCAAACCTCTAAATGATACTCTGTTTGCTGGAAGTCATTGGGTTTTCCAGCAGGATTCCACTGCAGCTCACAAGGCCAGGTCAACTCAGCAGTGGCTGCAAAAGAACATTCCAGAGTTCATCTCTGCCTTGGATTGGCCTTCAGGAAGCCCTGATCTCAACCCAATAGATTATCGGTTTTGGTCCGAACTGGAGAGGATCGCATGCAGAGCACACCCTAACTTGGAAAGCCTAAAACAATCTCTATTCCAAGCAGTAGAGCACTTTCCTCAAGAAGTGCTGCCTCCTGCTATTGATGACTGGCCACAGAGATTAAATGCCTGTGTCAAGGCAAAAGGAGGACATTTTGAGTAATTTCTTTTTTGTTTTACTCTCTATAGATATACATTTTATTTTCTGATAAATAAGTTAATATGTTTTTGAAAAAATTAATTTTTCTGTTGAAATCTGTATATATTTCCTTATAACGATATTTATGACAGGAGTAGGTGTATGTGTGTATATATATATATATATATATATATATATATAATAATAGTAACCTGCAGGACAACTGATGAACGCAGTTGTTGGGGTTTTATGCTTCCCCGGGCTCCTGAGTACATCCCACCATTCACAAACACATACACTGACACCAAGGACATTTGCAGTACACACCCTAGGGCAACCTTACTTAAGAAGGCCTGGCAGAAGGTTTAAAATGTGAATATCCACCAAAAATGGAGTTAAGAAATCGATGTATAGCCTCGGACGAGCCTATAATGCATTATAATTCATAATGCCAGGGCTGAAAAAATTAGAAAATACCAAGAATCTGCTTTTGAGTTAAAAACGCTGTATCACTAGGAAAAATTGAAGATTACACCAATAATCATATCTTCTAATGGTTTAATATTGAAAAGCACAGTAGAGGGTACCCAAGAACTTGGACTTGATTTGACGCATTCAAAAGCAGCACAAAAAGCAGTCCTGCTCGATATGTGCAGGATTGTTAAAAAGTTTCTAAATAAGTAATTTTTTTAATTTTTACATTCATCTACATTCCCTTGAATGTTCTTTCCGGGATGTGGATGCTATTTCAGAAATCTGAGAAAGCTAAGACAATAAATAATAATAATAATAAGTTATCTAAAAGGAAGGAATGAAATTGTACAGGAATCAATCTTTTATAACAGACCATACCGTAATCCATAAGATACCTGATATCGTGTTTATTGATAGTAATATGAAGACAGCTGAGATAATAGATATCGCTGTGCTAAGTGAGGTACCATACCGTATACTACAGCTGCCCCAAAACCTACCATATATATGGAACCGGATTCATCGTCAGAGGAAGCGCTCGGCAAGCAGTAACAAAGTTTACCTTCTAGATTATGTTATTTCCCCTAAACTATGCTACCTGCGTCTTAAGGGAAAATTCTATAATGTCTCTGTAATTAATTGTCATGCACCTACTGTCATCTCAAGAAAAGAAGGACATGTTTTACGAAGATCTCTCTTAAGCCCTCAAGATTTGTCCAGCTTATGATGCTAAAATAGTTCTAGGAGTCTTGAACGCCCAGATAGGCACAGAAAGAATACATCTACCAACAATTGGAACCTTCAGTCTTCATCAGAACACAAATGCCAATGACCAAAGAGTGATTGACTTTTCGAAAATTCATGGCTGGTGAGTGTCAGTGGTCAGAAGTACCATGTTCCTAAGTAAAAATATACACAAAGCTACCTGGAGATCACCTAATGGAGTATTTACCAGCCACATCGACCCATTTATTTCTTAAAATCCATTGAGGCCATGGTAGAAATCACACCATCCTAGACTGCCATGCTTCTATCCTAACGACGTCAATCTGCTCTCATCAAAATTTCTCAAGACATTCATACAGCCACGGAGCAGCAGAAACTCACCATCCTTATTCTCCTTGACTTCTCCAAAGCCTTTGACTCATTATACCATAAAATTTTCCTAACCAAGCTTAAAAATATCTCATTTTCTACAAGTGTCCTTAATTGGTTCCAATCCTTCCTTACTGGTCACTCCTAGTATGTTGTAGTCCCCAATAATCCCCCCATCAGAATCTTTACTCTGGCCCAGAGGTGTCCCACAAGGCTCCTCCTTATCTCTCACACTTTTTTCCATCTATATCAATGATCTCCCATCCTCTAACCTACACTGTCAATACCATCTGTATGCCGACGACATCCAGATTTATCTCTCCTTCAATCCGACTGAGTCCTCTGATGCTATTCAAAAATTACAAGAAGATATAAACGAAATTTGTGCCAGGGTAAACCACTATAGGACTACTCTAAACGCCAAGAAGATGAAAGCCATCCTGATCGGATCTCCCCACATATCCTAGAGCCTGCCTACTTTATAAAAACAAACTAAAACTGCTGACTCTATGGCATTTCTGTTCTAGAGATCTTGCAGCAGCCAAATATACCTATCAAGGGGATAAGAGAACAATAATCATAGCGGCGGTATATCTGCCATATGAACATCCAGAACCTGCGGAGGGAATTGAAGAAATCCTAAGATGCAGTGGGTAGATTGTAGCTGTCCTGGATGCCAATGCACATAATGAGATCTGGGGGAGATCAAATACCAACTCTAGAGGTGAGAAACTCTTAGAGACTATAATTAAATATGATCTTGATATTCTGAACAAGGGGAATAAGCCTACCTTTTGTAATAGGACTAGAACGGAGATCATAGACATAACACTAGCGACTCAAACAATGTCTCTGACGAAGAAACTTGCTCGGATCACAGGTATATTAGATTCGATATATCTGACAAAATACAACATGATGTGGAATATACAGATCCCAAACGTACAGACTGAGTGTTCTATTGTACTAACTTGGAGGCGGCTGTTAAATGCTGCCCCAAAGTTATCCACAATACATGGCAACTGGAATATCTAAACACTTCAATTACTGATGCTATGATTAGATCATATTTGGCCAGTAATGAAGCTAAAAAAACCATAACCAACAGGAAAGTGTCCTGGTGGAATGGTAGCCTAACAAAGCAATGAACACTCACAAGGAGATTGTTCAATGCTGCTAAAACATTTGGCAATTAGGATACCTATAGGAAAGCTCTTACTGAGTATCACAAATCTGTCAGGAGAGCCAAAAGACAAGCCTGGAAAAGATTTTGTCTGGAGGTTGATAACATTCAGGCGGTATGTAAAGTAAACAAAATACTGTCAAAACAAACCAATACACGTACGATGGGAACACTCAAGCACATTTCCCAAGTTGTTATACGACAGTAACGGAACCTCTTGACCCTACTACACAGGATCGTGGTACTGGTGCACGCATGTGGGGTCTAGCAAGAAGAGTGATCACAAACAGCACACTTGAATGGGCAGTAAATTCATTCTCTCTTTTTAAATCTTAAGGAACTGATGAGATCTTTCCAGCACTGCTGCAGAAGGGTCTCTCAGAGATAAGGCCATACCTTCTGGAATTACTAAGAAGTAGCCTAGCACTGGGATATCTACCATGTAAATGGAGGATATCCAAGGTGCGATACATTCCAAAACCAGGAAAAGTCTTATGAAGACCCCAAGGCATTTAGGCCAATATGTCTGTCATCTTTCATAATGAAGACATTGGAAAAGATACTTGACAGACATACTAGGGAACATATATTGGCTACAAGTGCAATACACTCAAAGCAATATGCCTACCAACCAGGGAAATCCTGTGAGGTGGTGCTTCATAACTTGGTAACAAGAATAGAGAAATCCTTAGAACAGAGAGAAATCATGGTAGGTGTCTTCGTTGATATCGAGGGTGCCTTTGACAGAACTCTTTATAACATCATAAATGATGCACTAAGGAAAAAAGACATAGACTCTATGTCCTCAAGATGGATTGGGAGGATGCTGGAGGACAGTCTTGAAATCAGAATTAGGGCATAAGGAACTGTGGATTAAATCCTGTGGTGGCTGTCCACAGGGAGGTGTGCTCTCCCCGCTACTGTGGTGCTTTGTGGCTGACTCATTGTTGGAAGCCCTAAACACTGCAGGTATATACGCGCAAGGATACGCAGATGATATTGTTATCCTAATAGGAGGGAAGCATCAGAGTGTCCTCTCTGATCTCCTCAACACAGTATCTAATATTCTTAGGAATTGGTGCAGGACTAATGGACTAAGCATTAACCCTAGGAAAATTAATGGTTGCATCTTCACCAGGAAGAAAAAGGTGTTTATAAAAATGTCGGAAATTAATGGTATCCAACTGACACATAGCAAGGAAGTATGTGTTTTTGGTCCATTTTGGACCAAAAATTGTCATGGACTAAGCACATTTAGAACGTGACAAGTAAAGTCCTCAAATGCCTATGGGACTGTAAAAGAGTGATAGGAAAGAGTTGGGGACTTAACCTAAAATGGTATACTGACTGTACACAACGACAGTTAGACCTATCATACTTTAATCAGCTTTGCTATGGTGGCACAAAGCAAAGACTGCAGTTAACTCATCCTCATCAGGAAAGATTCAAAGACAGCAGCAGCAGCAGCAGACAACACAAACCAAATAATGGTATTAATTGTTATACAGATGGCTCTCTAACAGCCTATAGCTCAGGAGCAGGCATCTATCGTAAAGAAAACAAAGAAAAAAATTCTATACCACTTGGCAAATATACTTCAGTGTTTCAATCTGAGATACTGGCAATTCGCCATAGCGCACAAAACCTACTGTGAAGCAATGTGACTGGGAAAAAGATTACAATCTATATCAACAGTCAGGCAGCAATATGTGCAATTAACAATTATTATGTATATTCAAAAGTTGTTAAGGAATGCAACACAGCACTTAACAAACTAACTGAGCACAATAGAGTTGCAGTGGAGTGGGTGCCCGGTCACTCGGGCATACTAGGCAACGAAGAAGCTGATGAACTAGCCAGATTGGGCTCAGATACCATTCCCGTAACTCCCGAGCCTGTTTGTGGAATCAGCCTTAGCACTGCAAAAAGTAGGATCAGTGAGATTTATGGGAACAAATTTAATAATTACTGGACTGAGAAGAAACAGCGACATTCGAAGCTGTTCCTTAAAGGTCCATGTGAAAAAAGAAGTAAACTGATACTGAGTATGGACAGAGCAGCTCTTAAAAAGCTTACAGCAATCTATACAGGTCACTGTAAGCTAAATTACCATATGTTCAATCTCCGAGTAACGACAAATCCGCTATCTGTCAGGAGGAGAATGAAACAGCCTTTCACATTGTGTGCAGATGTGATAGATTCACAAGGCTGAGACTGGAACTATTTGGGGAGGAATGAATGGATCTCCCCTGTAGATATGAGACTGTCAATCCAACCAAGCGACTAAAATAACGTTTTGATTAAACAAATAACTGAAATTGGCACACAATGGACCCAATAGGACTCGACGTGCCTTGAACCAATACTTAAAAAAAAAAAAAAAAAACATGATTCGGATCACTACCTCAGTATTGCCTGTATACGTGCCCGGATTACCACAAAACGGAACTCGGATATTGGAGAAGCTGTGAAGAAATTCAATGTCCATAAACTGAAGGATCCAGTGTGTGTAATCTATCAGCAACATCTTGAAACTAAGCTGGAGGAGGAACTAAAGGATAGAAATGACACAGTGATTAAGAATTAAATTAAGAATCCCATTTCTTGTAAAGCAAGATTCATCAGTAACCTAAATGCAGTTCAGGAAGTTAGGATCTCGGGTGCATTGTCGAATTAACCACTGGGAGAAATTTCTGTGCTTGTTATAATCTTGTGGTAACAAATCTTGCCTATTAGATGCGCATCGATACAATAGTTGTTCACGTATAGTTCGCCATACGCTGGTAGAGGAAACATCGAAATGATGTGACAATCTTCTGGTACTAGTAGATGGAGATAACTGAACAGCATCGAGTATTTCTTCTTCAACGTTTGCAGTTCGTCGAAATTCTTGTTAACCCTCCTTTACTCGCATAGGTTTCAGCGTGCCATGATCCTTAAGGTGTCTTGCAATGGTCTCAAACGTTTTACGATTTGGTATTCTTCGGTTAGGAAATTTTTCACGATACCTTCAAAACAAGCAACAGCACTGTTTCTATGTACCTCGCCAAAAGTTAAAAGCATGTCTGTTTGTTCGGCAAAAGTGAATACATTTATGGTGTCTCCCATGATAATCATAAATTGAACTGTGTCACTAAAACACACAGAACTAGACAAACAGATGAACAACTACTGTCATTGCTTATCATTCATTTGTTTATCAGGTGATTAAAACCTGGTATTTAGTATTAAACACGTTAAACTTTGTACAATCAGTCTTAATGTAGTAAATAAATAATAAATCTCTAACCTTTGATATCTTTATAATAAGTGAGTTGGAGCTATATTTTAATATGAACTTTTTTGTTTATTATGTGTTAGGTAACACATACCTAAAATAATGCCGTGCAATTAGGAAACACCTTGTATATATACATTAGATATATTTGATGGTATGGTTAATCTATACTGTAGTATCACTAAAAAGTAGTCGTATTTATTCAAATACATTTTTCATATTTTTGTTGAAGAGTATATTATTTCATACCTGGAAAATGTTGAGGAGGATCACAAGCTATAGCCTTTCCCCAATTCTCATTACCACTTTCTGGGGGCCTTTTAAGATTAAAGTCACCAATTGATCCAAAGGACAATGTAACAGTTTCAGAAATTATTGTACCATAATCATTAGAAGCTTTACAATGGTATGAACCTCTATCTTCTACCTTAAAAGATTATTGACACATTTCAAATCCAGTATTTAAAACATATTATAACATAAATATCAATTTGTTTAATAATTATATAATGCAATACAATAAATGATAATCTTATTCAATTATTTAATAATCAATAAAACTAAATTATTAGAAAAGTATTATAACATATCTAAACAAGACATTAAAAATATTAGATGATACACACTACATTAATTTTTATTATCTTAGTAGGCACTTCATTGATTATCAAAAACACAACTTCCAAGTCGTTTGATCAATCTACAATAAGTAATAAAATGATAAATACTGTGGATTCACTAAATTCAATTCCAATTGTATTGACAATATTCCTACCAAATTAAGATATTATTGAGATGGATTTAGCAATCCTAAAATTACAAATAATCATCTATCAACTAAGTGATCAAAATGATTAGGTAGTTGTAAACTATATCGTAGTCCCATAAATCTAATAAACTTGTAACCATTTTTATTTATGACGCAAGCCAATAGTGAAATTTTATTGAATATTTCAAAGCTAGTAAATGAATTCAATCTCAATTTCCAACATGTTATATTTTTTAATAATGGAGAAAATAATAAGTAATTTTCATATAATCCACACAGTTATAAAATAATGTGATTCAGTCATTCATTAATATATTAATGGAAGTTGTAAATAATAAAATTGAATACAACTGGTGCCAAAATATTAAGAAATTTTATCAAAAAGAAGAAAGAGTAAGCAAAATAAATAATACGGGAAAATAATAATATGAAAGTCAACAATTTCAAAGAAATTTACCTGTCTAGGAGAATTTATGATGAATGTACCACCACTAATTGTAAATCTTTCATCAGACAAAGGATCAATTCTCTTAGCAACAAGTACATCATTAACATAATCTTCTTTGTACCAATCATATATAGGAGTAGGGTAGCCTCCAGCTAGGCAGCTATAAATACGTTAATGTTTAACACAATGTATATTTATATAATATTACTGAATAAGATTAATTGAGATGAATCTAAAATTCAATGCATTGAAAGATGAATGATGATGTTTATAGTGAATTATCATTTATAAATGTCTTATATCATCAAGGAAATGAAATAATTAAAAAACAAAATATTTAAGTTTAAAAAGACAATAATTAATTAAAAACATAACACATGAAATGTTAAAAATCCATAACACTTAATGTTTATTTTTAGTTAACAAATATGTATATAACTAAATTAATTATTTATTATTATTAAGTTATATTTGAGTGCCATGTACAACTACATAGGTTAGAAGTACCTATTTGAATTTCATTACATTTCTGTAAAAATTGTGTGGTTTTGTAAGGTGTGAATTTGTTATTAAGATATGTCTATAAAGATTGTGTTACAACTGCATAGATTAGCTCTGATTTACATAGTAAGTATGTTTATAAAGATTCTGTTATTTAAATATGTCTATGGTAATTGTGTTTTTTTCAGAAATTGGAACAAATTCTCAAAGTTTTTTTATTGTAGGGCTTGTTGATATCACCAGAGGCCATAGAAGGTCCTTGATGGATACAAGTTCGAACAATGTTCTAACGTGTTTTGCAATGTTATAAGCATATTATAGTGACAAAATCATGCTGGTGAATTTACAATGAGAAGGTGCTCATGTCTGAATCTAGTGTGTCTTATTCTGTGATGGCGTAGAAACTACAACTGAAAGTGTTGTTTGCATATTCCTAGAAACCACCCATTGACCTCCCAGAGTAGACTGTTGATGGTGATAATCCTAAAGGCTTACGGTTCACCAATGGACCATTGAATGGTGTACTGGGTTCAATCTGTTTAATATTTTCTTTGAGTCATCCTCATAAACTTCACATCCATAATCAATCACCAGCCTTACTAGACACCTATATAACCGCAGCAACGAAGAATTTCTTTGACAATTTAACAATAGTGTTTCAACAGGCAATTTTCAAGTTACTCTTTAATTTAGATAGATCCACAATTACTTAAACTTAAACCCTGCATAAGACAGCACATGACTTTTGATATGTTTAAAATATATAGTTAACTTATTATAAACGTTTCCTACAACATAGAATTACTTCTTTAAAAATTTTCAGCACTTTGCAATGTCAAAATACAGTGGAATCTCTGTATACTGAATTTTTTTGGGGACCATGAATTAAAAAAAAAAATATTTGTAAGAAAATTTATATAAATTGAATAAAAATTCACATTAAAAAAATATATAGAACATAATTGTCAGAAAAAAAGGCCCTTAGTTATAACCGGAAGAATGGATAATATTAAAATTAGAAAAGAAAAAAAAACATATTAGACAAAGTAATGAAAAATTGACCCATAACGTGTTCATGAATAAGCAATAACCATGGGAATGAGATTCTCTGAATATTTTTCTTATATTCTTAAAAAATAATTGTAATCTTTTTTTAGTATTAGGATAAAAAATTGCAATATTTTTATGCATACGTATTTCTGTATATCTATTTTTTAACCTTTGCTTTCAACAAATAGTTTCAACTGTAGTTTAACCAAAATTTAATCAGATACTTCATAAGAGCAAAATTTCTTTTGTAATGAAATAATTGGAATAAATAAAAGACAAATAATTTGAATAAATAATAACAGTTATTCTATATAGTGAGTGGTAAATTCGTTATTCAATATACATCAAGTAAAATCTTGTATACCTAAAAATACAAAATTAAAACACAGATAAAAATATTTGAAGAAAAAAATGTCAACAACTTTGATTATTAAATAATGTTGATGAAAAATAACACAAAACACATTTATTACCTTAAAAAATTAACAAAACTATACCTTAATGTAACATAATTGTGAATCTTGACTTTAGATAAATCAAAAACAACATCTACAGGTTGTTTTATAAAATATGGCCCATGTGGAATTTTTGTGGGGTCTTTAACATCAACACCATACTGATATGTTCTATCATCTACCACTAAATAATGAACTTTTGTAATGGGAAGTTCACATATGTATAACAGTTCTTCTTCACCACTAGCACCTTCAAAACCCCATCTTTTCACTTCATTTGAGAATCTGGAAATAAAAAGTCAAAATAATAAAATATGCTAAAGCCAGTGGAGTTTGAGCAAGAGCGCTTTAGCCACATAAACTCATGTCTTGAGTGAAGAATCTGGCTATCGCCAGAACTCCAAGATATATACTACAAAATATCCCTGGGCCACTGCCGCTTCAACTTTCGAGGAGGGTTGTGTAGGGGATTTGGATGATTGATAAGGTTCTGATGGAATTTGGAAAATTTTTCAGGGATATGGTCAAGGAAAAATGGGATATTAAGGTCATGATGTACGGTTTTGTTGGTTACATAGAACGGAGCATCGACTATTGTTCGGAGGACTTTGGATTGAAAGGATTGGATGCGTTTGATATTAGAAACTAGAACTTTGTTGTCCCCCAAAGTTCAAGTCTGTAGGTCCAAATAGGTTTCAGGATTGTCTTGTAGATCAGTAATTTGTTGTCAATTGAAAGTTGAGATTTTCTAGTCAGTCATCTGTATAAATGGCTGTATCGTCGGTTAAGTTCTTGTCTCTTGGAGTCCTTGTTGGACTGTAGAGTGTTGTGAACGAAATCCGAACAGATGGGAAGGAAGATTTTGGGATTCTATAAAGGGTAGGATTCGTTTCAGGAGAATCTTTTCAAAGATTTTTGAGAGGATTGGAAGTAGGCTAATTGGTCTGTAGGATGTCGAGGTGTTGGGAGATTTGCCTGGTTTCGGAAACAGGATAATAGTGGAATGTTGCCACAAATGAGAAAAGTGGGTGGTTCTTATGATGGTATTACATAGCATTTCCAAGTTGATTTCAACCTTTTCCAAATCAAATTAAATATTTTCCATTTCAAATTCAACCTTTTCCATTTCAAATTCAACTTTCGAATTTTTGTCAATTTTTGATTTTTTTTCGACTTACTATATTATCGAAGGCGTAGCTTTTGAAAAATACAAAAAAAATTATGATAACATTTTCAGTGAAATATTTCCATGTCATATTCAATTTTTTCCAAGTCAAATTCAATCTTTTCCAAGTCAAATTCAACCTTTTCCAAATCAAACTAAACTTTTTCCAGGTCAACATCAACCATTTCCATCCAGAGGTTAGACGTACCGGATTTGATGGGACGGGATTGAAAGGAGCATTTGAATTGTAGGATCTGTAGAATATAGGCGGGTCGCAGAGTTCTAATGGCCTGGTATAGGAAGGTAGCATGGAAATACTGATGGCGGTAGGCCAATAAAGCCACTTCAACTCGGTTTAAAACTGGTTAATAAGCATATCCCTTTGAGATCCTGAAGGTAAAGCGGATTGATCAATTCATTAGACGTTTAAGTTTAGCTTTGAGTTCTCCCGAGAGTCCACCATACAGCATACAGCCATAGTAGAAGTGGGGAAAAACAAGAGATGAGACCAGGAATTGACGGGTTTTGAAAGGAAGAAGATAACATAAATGGTTGAACTGTTCCAGGGTGGAAATAGTACGGCAGGAAATTTGGGAGATGTGTGGTTTCTAGGAGAGGGTTTGATCGAGGGTAACGCCAAGGTTTTTAACGGTGGTATAGAAGGAGATAGGTGAGTTGTTTAGAAGAAGATTGGGAGGTACTGAAATGGATTCAAGGAGTAAGAGGGATCCGATCAGGAGGGCTTTTGTCTTCACCGTATTTAATGTGAACTTATTAAGATTCGCCTATGCGTATATTCCATTGATGTCTTGTTGCAGTTTCAGGATGGCATTAGAGGGATCCACAGGGTTGAAGGCAAGATAAATTTGTACGTCATCGGCATATAGGTGATATTGACAACCCATGATAGAGGAAGGGAGGTCATTGACGTAGATGGAAAAAGAGGGTGGGGGATAAAGAGGAACCTCGGGGGACACCTCTGGACAGAGGTTGAGACACACTTTAATTAAATTAAAAATTTAATCTATCTAATCATTAAGACATTTTTAAAATTTTGATATAAATATAAAGTTTTACAATTCAAATAATCTAAAAAACTGATTAGATATATTTAGTTAATATGTAATGATATAGTTATGATTAAGATATAATATTAATAATAAAATAAAAAGTCAATATTAGTTGTATTTACATGTTTATCATGAGAAAAAAACAAAATAAATAGAACATTAAAAAAAAATAAAAGTAAGTTACTTGTAAACAAGATAAGAACTTTGTGCCAAGTCATTCCCTCTTTCGTTCAAGAAGGCTGCATCTAAATCATTTAATGATGAACCATCTCCATCATTTATCCAATAGTCTGGACTTTGCTGCCGAGCACCAATATACCATCGTCTATGCTGTGGGTCTTGTAATGATAGTTGATAAACTAAAAAACCATGTTCTTCTGGACTGCTTACACTCGCAAGTTCTGCTTCATAAGCCTAAATGTACAAAATAAAAACCAATTGATTTACCAATTTACACACCAAAAGAAAAATAATTTAACCATTATAAAATTTAGAAACAAATAATATCTTACAAGATACAAATAATAGAGATGTTATGTTGTGAAATAGACTAATTATTATAATGAAAATTTAATTTAAAATCAGTAAAACTGTTTTGCAGTACATGTAACTGAAGCATATCTTATGTTGAAAATATAATGACTAGTTTAGTGGTAGAAAATTAATTTATCAAAAATGTTTAAAGAAGTAAACGTAAGTAAGGGGTTAAGACGAGTAAAATTTTAAAACAATGCTAAAATAATATATAAGGAAAATAGGAACAATAAAAGAAAAATTATTGAGTCAATATATATCACTAAAAATTTGAAGAGTTCCGTTAACAACCATACAGATGTGGACTTTTACGCAAATGTAATAAACAATATTCACATATAATATAATAATTAATTTAAAAGTAATATACAACCCATAATTTAAATAAAATAATACACCAATGTAAAACAATAGAAGAAAAACCCCTCTCCCTTTGACCATCCCCACCAGGATGATATAAGTCAGTCCCTCCAGAAATGACGTAGGGAAAACTCTAAAATATCAGGACAGTTTTAATTTTCTCAGAAAAATTAATATGAGAGTAAATAATGGAAATTTAATGGAGGACTCAATAAGATAACAATCAATTTTATATAATGAGTAAAGTTACATACATGATAGGGTTTTAAAAAACTATACAAATTTATATATAGTGCAATTGCATGACATAGATCATTAGATTAAATAATTATGTAAAATAAAATTGATTTTGCAAATTTAAATGTAAATGAAATGCAATCTAACAATGATATTAAATTTTTCCAGACTTGAAAATGGCGCTAGTGTCGGTCCAAACTGTTGTCGAAATAAACTAAATAATAAATAAAAGGATGGTGGAAAAAGGCTTAATTTATTAAAAATAAAACCTCAAGACACCAATTCTAGGAATGACAATTACCTCTATTCAGGAACAAACTTTTCTTAACTTAAAACAAACGTTTTATTTTAATAGATTTACATGTTTTAAATAAATTATACAAACCTGACAATTTCTATTGGCTTCATTTCTTGATTTACGAGGAGATTTGATAAATCTATAACATGAATTTTGAAACTTAACCCAATACTGGGGACACTGTAAGTCATGACCTTCTTGTTCCAAAAGGTCACACTGAACCAAAAAAACAGGGATGAAAAAATAAAATATTATTTTCCAATACATTTTTTATCTGAAACACAAATAAAGAGAAAGACATTTAAAATACACATACATAATTCTCAAACTCGTAAAGATTTTAGGAAATTAGAAAGCAAACCATAATAATTCTAACAGTTATACTACTAGTAATAATCACTCCATAAGTACAATTAGGTAAGATTCAATACAAAAAATGAGATTCAACAGATTGAAAATAAAGCATTTAACACATAAAACTACATTGTATTAAAAAATTGTTACATGAAACGCTAACTTTTAATAATGCTTCAAATATGAAACAGACGAAAAAAAAATTCTTAACTGATTAACGTTGTCAAGAAAACAATTAGATAACATTTGAAGAGAAAATTATACCCATAGTAAACATATTCCTAGCTGAATGAAAGAATGGAATGATACATGCAATCTGCAAATTAAGTAATACCAAAGTTATATTTATTAAAAATTATTAATACATATAGGTATTCATTAGTATTAGTAATGGGCATTTGTTCCGCCAGCTTCATTGATTTTTATTTGAAAAGATAGAATACACAGTAATAAAACATACTGTTTGATGTGTTCTAATATCTTCTTAAAATTCATTTTTATACAAATCTAGGCCTTACTACTCTTCCTATCAAATAATATTGAAGTATCCTAACACTTATTTATCCCTAACTTAGGCCAAAGCTTCAGGTCACTTACTAAACCTGCCCATGTATTAACTCATCCAAAAGGTCTTATCTCACTTTAATTCCGCATCAATATTGAATAATTTATTCCTCTCAATACATTTTGAATGTTTTTCATTCCTTTGATGTTGCAATACTTCTTTCTTACCCACAGTCCTCAACCATGACAAGAGACTCTTAGTACATGTATATTGACCTAAAACTAATTATTTCATTAACAAAACTGGCAAACAAAACAAATCCCTTGATTATTTTCAAATTTTACATTTATTAAAAAATCAATAGCTTATCGCCCCTTTCTCTCTCTCTTATTTTTATTTTCACTTTCATATCAATACTTAAAAACTTTTGGAAATCCATCTAAAATGTGATCTTGGCCCAGTCACAGCTATAAACTTTTATTGGAAATAAAAACAAAATTATAGCAGAGACTCGTTAAAAACAGATTACCAGAAGAAGCACTTAACCTAAAGAACCACTTTAACTGAAGAACCACTTCATACAAACATCAAGAAGATAATGGCATATCATTCTGATTACTGCTAATAGTTCAAAATAAATATGATATTTAAGCTAAATTTCACCAACTTGGGACCATCACCTAAATACATTCACAAATAAAGAAAAGTCAGGCATAAATCATACAATAAATTAAAATGAGTAAGCATAAGAGTTAGCTAATAAGAAATAATGAACTTTTCTTTTTTAAAAAATGTACATTTACCATCAATATAAAAAGGAAACATTAACAGGGCTCTTAACAGCATAATGAACGCAAATATTTAATATGTCTAACACAAAATTTGTTCAAGGTAATGAATAGGAAGAAATATTTAAAACATGATAATTAATATTATTAACAATTAGACAAATTAATTTAAAGAACCACACCTCTCATATCCTTTTAACAAAATTTGAACGTAAACAAACAAACGGTTAGAGGTTACACCAGACCACACCTACAAAAGCATTCCCAAACCAAAGATTATAATCCAATGACGTTATCTTGGCTGATACATTCTCTTCATACAAAAGAAGTGGGGATAAAGTAACTGAAGCTGTAATGTCATTCCGTAACATGAATCATCCAAAAGAATTATAAATTAAAATTTCTTCTACATTTATTCCGTTATTAACATTAGTTTTTTTAGATCAAAATGGGGAAATCGCAGTCAGTGGGTCACAGATTTCAACCATATTTTTTTTGTTATTCTACATCAAAAAATGTTTGACACATGTCCCGGCGTTTATTCCAATGGGCATTAGGAGCCCAGAAAAAATATATATTATACTTGGTTTTGCTTTACCCGGATTTATAAGTTATTATTCATCGATTTATTTTTGTATGCAGAATAATTTCTTATTTTCTTATAATGCTTATAGTATTAAGTGAGCTAAAATATATCTTGAATTAAAAAACTAAAATAAGTAGGCCAAGTAAATTCTTATTACGAAAATACAAGTTAGATTCGTTTTTAGTGACTTTTAAAACTCCTAAATACGAATTTTTATAGAAATTAAAGATATATAAATTTTATTAATTGATTTTCTCCGAGGATTTTTTTATTTTTTCTTGCCGTTATCTGATAGTCCCTGGTACAGGCCCCTTTTTTATCAAATTATTAAGACCCGCATAAAACTTCGTAAATGGTTTCGTCTTTTCCGTAACCTACAAAAGTTTTATTCATATTTTATTAATAAGCCAAAAATTCCATTCAAATAACAGGATTTGAATAGAAGCGAAATCATTCCCGAGAGCAGACAAATCAAAATCTCTTTACTTAATCTCACATGAGCAACTTTTATCGCATAATAAAGTTCCTCAGCTGCTAAAGAAGGTTCGTTCATCTCAATCCTATGTTCCTCCTCTAACGATTCATTTAGCGCCGAAATTTTGTTCAACACTGCTACATATTTCTTCAGTTGTGGTCTAATTTCTGAAGCGCTAGCCATAAAAATTTCCTTTCTATCAAGGAGAATCTTAATCATATCGAAAGTGGTTAGAATTCTTAGAAACAGCCTTTCCTGTCTATAGGTAATAGCTTTAAGTCCTTCAGTACTCTTAGTTGGTGCCATCTTCAAGATTGTTAAAAAATAAAAATTCAAAATTAAATTTTAATTTCTGATGTCAAAAGCATTTTTTTTTTCAAAATAAATGCAAAGTTCAGCAAAGCAAGCCAAGACAGTAAGGATTAACGTAAGTATTAACGAAGTAACTTAATTCCAGCAAGTCACTATGCGTTCTTTCCTGAAAATCCCTGGGAACTTATGTGGAAACAGTTTGACCTACAAAACAATACATAACGAATGCGTAAGAAACAACATAATATATATTTAAAAAGAAAAAAAAGTCAATAGACGAAATACGAATATTAGTCCGGAAATATATGATTTTTACAAAATAAAATTCAATTTTTAATACTCTGCCATCCCCAAATATACACCAAAGCAAGAAACGACATAAGATATACTAAAAAAACAACAAGGAATTAATAGGCAAAATACGAATATCAGCCCGGAAATATACGATCTTTACAAAAACTCTCATAACCTACTAGGCAATTTTCTGCCTTTACGTACGGCAAAACATCGCTATGGCAAAAAAACTATATAATCGTGTCCGGTGGACTAAAATGTTTAGGCAACTTTAAAATTTTAATTTAATAAAGGCAAATAACTCTAATGATTTCAACATAGGCAACATTCGACTTATTTGTGCAGTGGACTGTATTTTGATGAAGTGGTAGGTTATATGAATTGTGTAAAATTGACTCACCCTTTTATAGACATCTTACATAACTGAGAGGGTCCTCCAGTCTGTTATAGTTGATGCCTCTGTGAATTAGGGAATGCAATACCGTTAAAAATTTTCGATACCGGTATTTCGGTATTTTCGCTTTTAGAACCGGTAATACCGGTATTAGTATTATTTTTAAAAATATAAACAAAATTAAAATTTACTTACTATAGGTTATGTTATTATTTAGGAGTAGTACAAAATATATGTCAAACACAACTAAACCACAAAACATTTATTTTTAAGAATAATTTAACAAAATTAAATTCAACTTTTTTATTATGTAGATAGATAGATAGAAAAAAAAAAAATTTATTCTGGGACAAGGTCCCTTATGAATAGCAGATATGAACAAAAAATAAAAACTACATCTGGCCAAAAATTACATTAGTCAATGTTAAATAATATGTAGTATCTTCAGTAAAATTAAATTTAAAAAAGTAAAAATAACACCACTTTGAAAAGAAAACAAAATAAAAAAAAACATTATTTAAATGAAAAGAGAACAAAATAAAATAAACATGGGTTGATTTTTAAAATTAAAAACTCTATCAATTTTTACAACCATTCACCTCAGTCAAAATCTGTTTCGTAATATTTATTTTATTGTATAACGTCATTTTGGGATGTGAGAAGGAATTGGTAAAGATGATATTTAAATGAGGACAAGGAAGAGGCATGGCGGATTTCAGAAGGCAAGGAATTCCAGAAGGCAGTGGATCGGGCAATAAAGGAATATTCAAACGTCTTAGTTCTATGGGAAGGGATATAAAGGTCGGAAACACGGGATCTTGTTTTCTGGGAGTGGACCACGGGTTTAAACTGTAGGAGACTGTAGATGTAGGAAGGGTGTCGGGTGTTGATTGTTTGGAATAGGAAAGATCCAAGGAAATATTGTCTGCGGAAAGAAGGGAAGAGCCACTTTAACTTTTCGTAAAGGTGGGACACATGAGACCGCCTCGATGTACCGAAGACAAATCTTAAGCACGTATTCATGAGTCGCTTCAATCTATCCTTGAGTACCATCGGAATGCCTCCGTACACCACACAGCCGTAGTCAAAGTGGGGGAAAATGAGAGAGGATACAAGGAGCTTGCGGATGGGTTGTGGGAGTAGGTGGCGGGAGCGATGAAATAGCTTAAGGGTACCTATTGACTTACAGGAGATGAGGGCGATATGGGGTTTCCAGGAGAGGTTTTCGTCTATGGTGATTCCTAGGTTTTTAACGGAGGAGCTGAATGTGATAGGTTGATCCTTAATGACTAAAGGAGGAAGGAAGGAAATGGATTTAAGAGTAGATTTGGGACCTATAATAATGGCCTGAGTTTTCGTCGCGTTTAGATTTAAATTATTCAGACTTGCCCAGGCACTGATCCTATCTAGGTCTGCCTGAATATTGGTGAACGCGACTAGTAGCTCAGAAGGATGAAAGGAAAAATAGATTTGGGAGTCATCAGCGTATAAATGATGTGAACAGTGGTAGATGGATTTGAAAGATCATTTATGTAGGAATTAAAAAGGAGAAGGGAAATGCTCGAACCTTGGGCCACTCCTGAGGATAGTATAAGGAAGGAAGATAGGGGTTGGTTTGGAATGCTGACTGCTTGAGTTCCGTGGGATAGGAAAGACTGCAACCAGAGGATAGAGCTGTTGGAGATGGATAGAGATTTTAATTTAGTGTAGAGTATAGAGTGGTCTAAGGAGTCAAAAGCTTTGGAAAAGTCGAGAAGTATTAACACAGTTAACATTTTGTCGTCCATTGCGGTATGTAAGTCATTGGTAATTTTTAGTAGGGCGGATTGTGTGGAGAAGCCAGGTCGAAAACCAGATTGGAGAGGATCAAGTAGTTTTGAGTTTTCAAGGAATTTAGAGATTTGGGATTGAGCTATTCTTTCCAGAGGTTTGGAAAGGTTAGAAAGAATAGAGATTGGGCGGTAGTATTTTGGAGAAGTAGGATTGGGGATTTTGTTTATAGGTCTGACTAATGCTTTTTTCCAAGCAGCCGAAAAAACTGAGTTCTGGAGGGAAAAATTATAGATGAAAAGGGGAACTGGAACGACTTCAGGAAGGTATAATTTTAACAGTTTGACTGGGATTCCATCAAGTCCGATGGAGTTTGTGTGGGATTTCATTATAGAGGAAATAAGGTCGGTTGGTGAAATGTTGGAGAAATAGAAATTATCACTGTTAAATGAGGGTGATAAGGAAAATTGATAAGAGGTAGGTGAGCTGATGCTGGTGGTGAAAAATATGAAGTAGGAATTTAGTTCATCAGGTGAAACCGGGTAGATCGGTGAGGAAGAGGATTTACAAAGAGAGAGTTTACGAAGGGTTAGCCATATTGATTTAGAATCAGGAACAGAAGAAAAGGTTTCATGAAAGAAGTTTGATTTCGCTTTCCTGATCGTTGTTTGTGTCAAGTTACGGAGTACCCTATAGACTTGATAGTCATCTACTAGTCGAGTTCGTCTGAAGTGTGTGCGGGCTGCCTCTCGTCTCTTTTGTATGTCACGGATTTCTTGACACATCCGGAGCAGGTTGGCGACGGAAGGTTGAGGTTTTGATAGGAGCATGTATGTCAAGAATATGGATAAGATTAGAAGTGAGGATGTCTACCATATGATCAATAGAGGTACAGGAATAAATATCGTTCCAGTTTAGGGTTTCAAGGTCCGGTAGGATTTTATCACGGGTGAGGGTGTCAAGATTGCGGAAAGTTACGGTTTTAGGAAGAAATGTGGGAGTTTGGATATCGTACGATAATTGGATGAGATCATGAGAAGAAAGGAAAGGAATGGGTAATTGAGAACAGGACAAGAGTTTCTGCTCTGAATCGATGATATGCAAGTCCAGCCAGGTGTCAGACAAACAAGTATGGTGTGTAGGAGCGGAAGGAACAATAAAAAGGTTGAGGGAGAAGAAGAGGTTTTCCAAGTAGCGTTTGTTGTTTGATTCTGTGAGGAGGTTGGTATTAAGATCACCGGAAATTATAATGTTATTATAGAAAAGGAGATAATTGTACAAGGTTGATTCGAAGGATGGGTCAAAAGGAGTCAAAGGAGGGCGATAAACGACCACATAAAGGAGAGGATGTGCTTTACAAGAAATTTTAGCGAAGAGGAATTCAGTGTAAGGATGATTGGAAGGGGAAGAAATATCTAGAATACGGGGTTTCAAGCTATTGTGAACATAGAGACCAACACCTCCG